GGGAAGAATTGCACAGCAGCAACAGTCGTTTCACACTGCTTTTTACATAGAGACAGCTGGCTAATTTTGTTTCAGGCATTCAGTTTGAGTATTTTTATTTCCCTTGTAATCTTAACTTGAAAAACAGTCTCTTTTTTCCCCCTCCAATTTTCCAATCTTGGAAGTAGATAAAGTTCAGTACATTCATTGTAATTAGAATATATATTTGTGTTCCTCAGTAAAAATTTATCCCTGTTAACAGCTTAAAATATCTTTTGAGTTTTCCTGTAAACTCATTCACATACAAAATTAATATTCAAAAAAATTTTTTTTTGTTAGGCAAAGGCTTGTCTTTAATATCCATCAGAAACAAAAGATTACTTTGTTTAATTAGGGGTATGATATCTCCTTCAGCCTCCAAGCAGTTAGCTCAAAGTCCTTAATGAGTTAACTGATGTGTACTATAAAATAAATGAAGAAGTAGCCCTTTTCACTAAACACAGTGATTAAATATTCATGCTTTTGTGATGGCATTCCTTTTTCTAGGTGGCTGGGATCAATCATGGCTGTAAAAACTTGTTTTAGTCCTTGGTTACCAAGAATCACTGAATCCCTTACTTGTTTTATTTGAAAGTGTTCTAGAAACATGTACCAAAACATCTGTTTCAGGTTCAGAAGTATCCTTTTCCCATATGAAGTGTAGGGGTGAAATGCATACTAAGATTAGAGCTTTGTTCAGACAGAACGCTGGCAATAAATTGCTTGTTTCTTGTTTCAGGTTGTATACTTACTGCCATTTTACGAATCTGTTTAGTGTTCAAGATGGTGTCTTTGATTTAGTATAGCTCTAGTTAGCATTTTTGAAGCTGACAATGCTTCAAAATAATAATGATATTAAAAACCCAATTTGTTTTTGTGATCTGCCATTATCCTTAAGTGAATTTTTAGGGAGGATGTCCTCTTTCATGAGTGTGATTCTAGGTACATAGAATACACATTTTAGTCCAATTCTGGAGGTTATCCGAAGCAGGTTGCCCAGGATCCTGTCCAGATGGCTTTTGAATGCAACCTCTCTGGGAACCTGTCCCAGTGCTCGGTCACCTCACTGTGAAGAAGTGTTTCCTGATGCTCAGGTGGAACCTCCTGTGTTTCAGCTTGTGCTCATTGCCTTGTCCTGTCACTGGGCACCACTGAAAAGAGCCTGACTCAGTCTGAATTACACCTTCCCTTCAGGTGTCTGTATGCATTGTTGAGATGTCTCTGAGCCTTCTTTCCTCTAGACTCAACAGTCCCAGCTCTCTCAGCCTTTCATCATTTGAGAGATGCTCCAGTCCCTTAATCATCTTTGTGGCCCTTCTCGGGACTCTCTCCGATAGCGCCATGCCTCTCTTGTACTGGACACCACTCCAGATGCGGCCTCCCCAGTGCTGGGCAGAGGGGAAGGATCACCCCCCTTGGCCTGCTGGCAATGTTCCTCCTAACACAGCTGCTTTTGCCACAGGGGCGCATTGCTGGCTCATGGTCAGCTTGGTGCCCACCAGGACCACCAGGTCCTTTACTTCATAGCTGCTTTCCAGCTGGTCAGCCCCTAGCATACACTGGTGCATGGGCTTATTCCTCCCTGGGTTCGGGACTTTGCACTTCATGAGGTTCCTACCTGCTCAGTGCTCCAGGGGTTGAGGTCTCTCTGGCAGCACAGCCGTGTGGAGTATCGGCCGCTCCTCCTGGTTTTGTATGGTCAGCGAACTTGCTGAGGGTGCGCTCTGCCCCGTCCGGATCTCTGAGGGGGTGGTTGAACAGGATGGGAGCCAGTGTTGTCCCCTGGGGTACACTGGTAGTCACTGGGCTCCAGCCGCTGACTGAATGTGGATTACAAAAATGAACACTATTATTGATAATACTAAGTAACATATTATTCTGTCCTATAAATTTAGTCTTACCGTATAATAATAATAGAGCTTGTGGTATAAAGGTGTGTCTTAACAACTATTGCTGCTTTCTCATTTTTTACCTTGGCCGCTTTTAGAGGTGGGGAATAGGAATTGATTTACCGTAGACCCTACACTGAATCGGTGGCAGTCGTAGCGGTGAACTGTAGGGATTCCTACTTTCTAAAGCTCTGCTATATTAAGTTCAGTTTTTGTTAGACTGTTTCCTCACAAGTATATGATATAAACCCCTGACTTTGATTTAATATTTATCATTAATTAGGGAAGTGACTTGCTCCTTTATTTACAGACTTCATCAGCACAAGCTGCTCGTTAACTTATCATTCACTTAATATTCCTTGTGTCAGCGATAAGCTGATGTTCAGAACACAGATGTATTAGGTTGCCTCCATATGGTGCTTTGTCTAATGAATCAATTAGCTATTTTGGAAAAAATCCTTGTGAAGTTGGTTTTTTTCTGTGGTGCAAAGTCATCCTGCAAATGGTGGAACAGTTTTTCATTGGTGTTTGTGTTTGAGCATATTTTTAGGCAAAAACTTTGCAATGGTTTTGCTAGGTTCTCATTTAAAATTTCTTTGCACTTAGGAAAAGCAGGGTTTTTTGTTTGAAGTTTATATTTGACAGATTTTGAAGAGCTATTTGAGTCAAATAAACATATTGAGTGATACACCTCTATTCTAGTAACTGCATCTTTGCCACTTCCATGGCATGCAGTCTTTCAGCTTCTTCGAGAAGTTGGGTTTTTTCCAAATTGTTAACAATTCATTTAATAGTGCACTGTCTGTTTCAAATGCATGCAAAGTAAACATTTGCACATGCAAATAGAGTAACAGATGAATGTTTGTGGATTTGGCACTGTAGATTTGTGGAGTCACAGAAACTTCAATACTTTTATGTGTCTTGCTTCTGAAGGACAAAAATAGAATATCTAAAATCAGACCCAGTATTATAATCAGTGTTCGTGCATTGTATGTCAGTAGTCTGATTTTGGTTTGCTCAGTATTAAGTTAAAATAATTTTTCAATAAAGAAACTGTTTATTACTTGTATTGTCTTTTGACAGTGAAAATGTTTGGGTTTTTTATTAAAAAAAAAAAGACTTCACCTTTGGTAAGGTATGGATATTTAAAACTTAACTACTTAAAACTTGGAAGACAGAAACATTACAGATGAAAATTTAAGATGGTTTTGCATTATAAATTTACAGTTTAATACCTTGTCAGAATGTAGCGATATTTATCAATCAAGTCTATCAGTTTTTTATATTAAATGGTCTTTGCTGCATTGTCTGGAGCATTTTAATTAACATTACATATTTTTCTACATACAAGATTGGTTGTTATAGATTGGTTCGTTTGTATTAGACTGATTAAAGGACAGCTTTAACAGCTAACATAATATTGGTCTCAGTTTAAAAACAAACTAAACCCCAATACAGGCCCTCTCCCCTGTTCACCTTCTGCATGGAGATTCTTACAGAGAAGTTGCAATTTTTCTGAAAGAGTAAAATAAAGCAATATGAGAGACCCTGTTAAGGCGACAGGGGTGAAGCAAGGATGGCTTTATATTGACCATGTACAATTGCTTATTATGAAACTGAGTTGTTTTGGTTGGCAGAACCCGTGTACCTAGGTACCAAACGTAGCATATATGTAGTCATCCATAAGATACCATAAAAGCATATATTTTACTGCTGTCTTCTCAGATGGCGTTATTTATACTTCCTGTGCTGGTTAGTGCTCCGTTCCCTATGAAACTGCCGTACCTACTAATTTTTCTGTTCAAAATACATGAAATATATTTTGTACAAGCTGCTAACTGTGTTAAGTTGTGTAATAACTAGTATAAATAATTTGTTTTTAAAAAGGCATACAGTTAAAACTTTGTATTGGAAAATCTTACTCATCATGTTAACTGAAGATAGCTTTAAAATAATGGTATTGAAACAATTATTCTAGTCTTTCACATTTTTTTTTTTTCAAGTAAAAGGATATTGTAACACCCATAAAACCAGTGTAAAATACTATTCCTGGAAACGTTTAAGGGAATGTGTCAGACTTGTCTCACTGTCTAAAATATACTTGTTAACTTTAAATATTACAGTAAACTTTGAGAACTCCTAAATTTGAATCTCTAAATAGGTGTAATTAGAACTAATTATTCAGCAATGAAAATCTTGCAAAATCTGACTTTTTAAAAATTATTTTTTAGGCGGAGCATGTTGTCAGTTTTAACATCGCTGCTGCATTTTTGCTTAACTCACCCCCTCTTCTTTTCCCCCTGCACTCCCCACTCCGCCCAGCGCCCGCTTGTATTGCCTGCTGCGGAAAGCTCGGGGTCCTGGTTATGTGGCGGGGCTGGCTCTGTCACCGTTACAGCTGTGTGCGGTGTTTTGTCACGCAAAAATTGCACATCTGTACATGAAAAGTGACAACAAAAGTAGCTTGGAGTAGATGCTACATACGGTCATGTATGGCCTCTTGGAAAGTCTGGCTTAAACAGATTAAATGACTGCCTGTTATGTTTAGAATATATTAGAAATAATTGCAGACCTGCACTTGAACTGTTTCCCTAACAGAAGAAATATTTTGGTAATGTTTATTGCCAAGATAAAAATGAGGTCAAATAATGTAACTCTCAAGGCTTGCAACGTCTTTAACATTGCATATCTAAAGCAGTATTAGCACCAAACAGCCTTTACGTCTTTCCATATGAAGGTGACGTGGTGAGATCAGCATTGTAACTCTACCAGCGGAAGCTGTTTCTTTAACAGTTATCTGTCCCTCTCACCTGAGCTTGAACAGCAAGCAGCCAAGAAACTGTAACGAGATTATGATCATGTGAGGAAAAAGAGACAGGGGGAGAGAAAAGGGAGAGGCAGTGGTGAAAGCACATCCTGCAGAAGCTGTCACTTACGGCTGCCTTTAAAAAAAAAAAATCAGCAGGGATTTTAGCTGTGCGTTGATATTTAGAAAAGCAAGATTGTTTTAAGTCACAACTTGCTTAACATAGTGTGTCTGGTATTGCTGTGCTACCATGCTGCTTCTTTACACCTTTTTAATTTCTTTCTCAGAATCAATCTACCGACGTGGAGCCAGAAGATGGAGGAAGCTGTACCGAGTGAATGGGCATTTGTTTCAAGCCAAACGTTTTAACAGAGTAAGTACTGTTGCATAAAATGTTGGGGTTTGGTAATGTTCTGTGGTAATTGTTTTCTCAGTCTGTGCTTTTTCTGTATTTGAGTGTTGAAAAAGAAAGGAAAAGCAAGATGCTTATTCATGTGACTTCTTGGTCTATGCAGTCTTATTCAGGTCATAACAATCAGAAAAACTTGAAAGTCCCACTTTGAATCTGGGGTGGAGTTAATAATATATGATTGATGGAAATTATTTATTTTTAAAGTCTCTGTAAGCCTGGTTTTGTGACTATATAAACTGATGCATGCTTAGAGCAGTTTTTCTCTTCTCCACTCCATGTGATTTTGATTGCTTATTAGCATAATCTTTTACCTTCAGGACTTTGTATCATTCTTAAAGATTAGAGCTCTTGTTAGCTTTAACTGTTTTGAATCTCAGGTATTACATAAGCTAATTAAGAAAAAAACCACCCGGTTTATTGAGCTAAAATACAACTGCATTAAGAATCTGACTTAACCCACATAAGCAAGTGAATGTAGCTTTAAGGCTGAGACACCTCCTTCACTTATCCCATTATGCCTAAGTATTGCAGCATATATACAAATGTAGTATACACGTTGGGGAATTGCATACAAAACTGAGTACAGCGAGGTAAGTTAACTCTTTGATTCAGCAGTAACTTTTTTTTTAATTTGCGGGTTTTTTCCCCTAATGCTCCCCACCCCAAAACTGCATTGAAAGAAAAAAGTCCCTTAAAACTCAGTATCTTATCACTAGATATGTGAAAAATAAGTCATATATCTGAATTATAACATGCGTTTGTATAATGCGGTGTACCAGCTCAATTTTTTTTAATTTATGAAACGAAACGTATACTTTTTTGTGCTTATTTGCTACAGTTAAAACATATTTCTTTGAAACATTGTGAATGCGTACCTGCCACATTAATAATCCATAGTGTTATAGATAATGATGTTTTAATTGAAATGAGGCAAATAGTGAATATACACATAAAGATTTTGAAACCTCATTAGCATGCCCATTTGTCAACAATCCTAAACAAGACTGCTCTAACTGTCTGTATACAAATGAAATCATATAAAGCCAGAACACAAACCATATCCGACTGAAGGTAGTAATAAAGTTGACATGAACTGTAAAATGTGACATTAAAATGTATAAATTAATAATAAATTATGGTCATATATGTATTACTGAATTAGATACCAAATTTGAATGTTGGCTGAATTTTTAGGACTGGAGTATTACCTTATGAATTCATTCCTTTTTCAAAATAACCTTTTAAAACCTTTTCAGATAATTCAGGTAAATGAACACATGCAAGAATCTAAACTTTAATCTTGTTGAACATGATGTAAAGGCTAACTCTTTGTTATTGCTGTGTTTGTATGCGTTTTGGAGAGGTATGAGAGGGATTACTGAAGGAATTTGGTAGCTGCCCCTGCATCTTTTTTTTTTTTTTCTTCTCCCTTGCTTCCCTGCATCTGACTGAAGTAAATGAGATTATTTTCTTGTATGTTGTTCCCAGGGTCCAAGACATTTTACTTAGTCTTAATATTACTGCTACCAAACCTATACTAGAATACTGAAGGAAGTCTGATGGACCAGGAATTTTGAAAGAAGTGGCTATAGATGTCCAAGGCTTCCTCTCTTATTACGGAGTATGGTTTGGTTTTTTGCAGTTGTTTTTTTTTCCCCTGGGCAGTGCAGTTTGGGTTTCTCCTGATCAAGGAGGACTGGCTGTACAGATGAACGGGATGTAGTTCAGTTTTGTTTTCTCCAACTATCAAAATGTGAGAAGGTCAATACAGAAAATATTTTTTAAAAATGATCCTTTCTTTGATCATTATTTCTTTTTTAATTTTTTTTTCTAATACTACTAGTAAGGATTTATAGTGGCTTAGCGCTTTTGGGCAGGACACCGTGTGTGATTCATTAGTCTGAGGATCTGAATAACCGCACTCTAACTTGCAGTTTGCTGGGAGGAACAGACTTGCACTGTTCTGTGGCTTTGGGACAGTTGCAGAGTTCTGTCGGAGCCTGAAATGGGGGCTGAGTGCAGGACTTCATGTGCAGCTTGCAGAATGACAGGCCGTGTCCTAGCCTGCTACAGGAATTACTGGAGAAAATTTGCAGATAGGGAATAATGAGCAAGTCTTCTGTTGGCAACCTGTGCACTGTGTAGAGGGGTAACTGAGACTGGGTGACTTCTTGGCATGCGAGAATCTCCGATTGCTATTTGGCACTTGGGGTAAAGTGGATAAAATGACCACAGCACACGCAGACTGGAAAAATTATTTACAGACCTGCCCTGTTAAAGTCAGCAGTAGAATGTCTGGCTTCTTAATTTGTCCTCATTTTGATTTAATTTATTCAGATGCCATTTTGTTGCATGTATAAAAAAGGCCATATGTTTTCGATATTAAATAGTGCAACATACAGGGGTTTTACATCAGACTTGATAGATGAGTTTTAATTATGCAAAGTTTCTACCAATGTTCTACCACTGTTAAAGTATATAGGTGCAGATATAGAACATTCTTCGTATTTTAACTTGTCTTCTGTAACATTTTGTGCCAGTGTTCTCCGAAGCAGTCAGTTTGGGTGCTTTTTATGCTTAGTTGTGTAGTACAAATCCCTGTCAGTTTATTTGGGTAACCTCTGTCAGAACCTGAAATTCAAAATAGACTTATTATCTAGGAATGATTTGCTAATGTTGGGCTGTAATGATATTTGGGTTTTTTTAACATTCATTAAAAAAGGACTGCATTTAGCTGCATTCTAAGTATGAAGTATAATCTTCAGTTATTAGGGAAACCCTGGATATTCTAAAAGCATTATTATCGAACATCTCTTAGGAGGTGACTAGGATGGGTTCTTGTAGGGTGGATTCTTGCTGCTAGATGACTACCCACCTACAGAAAGGAGTTGATAGTTGAACTGATAATCTGCTTTCTGCCTTTTAGAGAGCGTATTGTGGCCAGTGCAGTGAAAGGATATGGGGTCTCGGAAGGCAAGGCTACAAGTGTATCAACTGCAAATTGTTGGTCCATAAACGTTGTCATATACTTGTTCCACTGACCTGCAAAAGGCATATGGTAAGTTTGCATTCTGTCTAAAGCTAAGGTGTTTCATTGTGTCCTGTGTTGCAGTTTCTACATGTGCACCTGAAGTACCTAAATGCTGTGCGTGGTTGTAGATTTATAATACTTGGTGGTATTTGGTTTTCAGTTTCTGAAATATCTATGGAGGACAAGCCTTTGGATTGTGAGCAGTAGAAACAAAGCAAGGAAAGAAAACTTGTGATATGACTTAAGTATGAGCAAGCTTGAGTCTGAATTCTCCAGTAAACCTATTGTATTTTACACATAGATGGAGAGTTCTCATTGACAATCTTAGTGTTTGTTCCTTTTAGCCTATGGGAAGGTTTTAAGAACTAAGCCACTAGTGTGGCTTTTGCACTACTGCTTGCAAAAAGGCTTGGTGCTGTCATGTTCGTGCCATCTCAGTTTCTCCTCTCCATTCCCCTCGTATATTCCAGCAGCAACTCTAGTGTCTTTCCTAGACTCTAAACATTCACCTGTATCCCTGAATTTTAGCCCCTCCCCATACTTATCGCAGACTATAACCAGTATCTCACTGGTTGTTGGATCATGTTGTCTCTAACTCGGAACTTAAACCAGTATTTTTCTTTATTGGTATTGCATAGGACTTGCCTTGACATTGCTAGATTCTTTGCCAATTTATTTATGGGTGTTGCTATACCTGCTGGAATAGTCCTACATGTCTCATTGAGTTGTGAATGAGACCAGGGTCCAAATGTACTATAAAACTGTTGGGTATTGTTATCTTTACCAATTTATGCAATATCCTTGCATAATGAGTAACAATTCCTGTTTTCTAAACAGGAAAGGAATATGCCGCTGCTCTAAACTGTGTGTAACATCATGCTGGAGTGTTTAGTTTGTTGCGGTTCCATGTGAAACAGACTCGGGAGTCTTAAATAGAATTAAAGTTTGAACTTTGCAAGAAAATACACTAATCTTACGTTTAAAAGACAGCTAAACATCTGCTGTAGTTGCAGAGAACGGTTGACATAGCCTACCAAAAGCCTAAATGCTGGTTTTATAATGGATAACAAAACGTTAACATTTGGAAATACTTTCTACAAAATGCAGTTTTCATCCAGGCAGATACAGATGTAAGGTTCTCATTGTGTTGTAGTTATATGACAAGACATACTCGCTTAAAAGAGACTCTGTAAACCGACGTTTTTTTTCCTATATAACTTACGTATTTTGCAAGGATTCGGTCATGCCTTCCCAGGAACCTCAGTTAGATGATAAAAATGATGAAGTTGACCTCCCTTCAGAAGAAACTGATGGAAGTGAGTACTTTCTTGTTAAGTTGGAATTCGTGTGTTTCCCCGTTTGGAGGCCCCGTTTCCACTCTACCTGTTTGGTGGTTTTTTAAAGTTTACTTTGAATTAGGTCTAGCTTATTCCCATGGACTAAATGCTCATTAGGGGCTCAATTATAGTAAATGTACTTCTGAAGCGTGTCGTCTGGTTCCGTTTCATCCTAAATTCCTATGCTCTGAAACCACTCCAGAATTTGAAGTTAAGCACGGAGCAATTGCCAACAATAGATTTGCTTTTTGAAACAAACAAAAAACCTGCACTTCAGATCCGAACTATGATGCTAATATATGTGCACCCTCAGACTCTAAGTATTTCTTAATTGTGTGTGATTTGGAGTACTCTTTCTAGGTTAATATTTTTGGTGGTTTAACCTGTCTTGTTTTAAGGGCCCATTTATCATACCCATTCTCCAAAATTACTCTGGCCTTCGTCAGCTATTATTATGAGCTCAAAAATTCATTGATGAATTCCTTAGTGTCTCTCAGTTGGTTGTTTCTGCAGTGCCCTTGGGATCCGCTGTCAGGATTACAAGAACAAAGTGGAAAAATTTGATCAACTGTCCCATAGTATTTAAAGCAAACTGCTGACCCTAAGCTACTAAATCATCTTTCCATTTATCAATTTTTAAAATTATTTCTATTGAAGGCCTTAACCACACTGCTTGTTTGATTTCTTTTCCAGTTGCCTACATTCCTTCAAACCGGAAACATGACAACATTAAAGATGACTCTGAGGTATGTTTTAAAAATACTTTTTTAATTCACATTTACACAGTCTTAATCATACAGCTTTTTATGAAATAGGTAATTATTTCTCCTCTTTTTTTCTGCTACCCTTAAAAAAAGAAGTCTGGGTCTTCTTTCTGAAAATTTATGTTTTTAAGCATTTTTGTTGGATTTTTCAGATTTCTTCTGTATATAGCTCTTGTTATCCCAATCATGATGTTGAGAGACTTTTTTTCTCATTGGTTGATTTTTTTTTTTTTTTTCTCCCCTCCATTCATGTTGGAACAACAGTGATTTAGCGGAGGGTTTGACTTTATTGGTCCTTGCAACAAATGGTGGCTTTGACATTGTCTGGTCTGCTCTCTAATGGATGTACACCCTTTATCACCCTCAGGCTATTTCTACAGGCTATCATTATGAAAGTTTGTTCAATCTGATAATACATTAACTATCCAACTCTGAGATGTTTCATATAAATAATACCTGATAATTTATAGACAGCTCCTGTGGAAATACAAGTAGAATAACATACACTTAAACTCCGTTTTTCAGCTCTTTTGTAGATGGTCTGACACAATCTCTGCATACCAAGAACATTATTCCCTTAAAGCAGTTTGAAAAATCCTAATATGCTTTAATTCTAAGGGGCTTCAAGACATTTCTTTTAAAAATGCTTCTGGCCTATTTAATAAATAGGATGCACTCTGCAGAACACTAGCCGTTAGTTTGATATCCCACTTCTAACAAGCCTGCGCCTTTTTTCCTCCATCTCCACTACAATACTTGTCACTGCCATTATGTTACGCTTGAGTAGTTCCTGCTCTTGGGTAAGTGACTGCCTTATTTTCAGTCACATGTCTTTAGATTTTATCTCAAATTCAGAGATGGAAGGGTATAAATTTAAAACATGTTAGAGAATTTTAATTGCTATCTAGAATTGCTGACTTCTGCTGTGGTTAGTGCTCAGGTAGATACTGTTTGTGTTTAAATTTTGGTAGGTGCTGTTTGCTCAGCTCTCCTGAACTATGCTGCTCCGATTTTCCCACCTTGCTTTTGAGCTTTACTAAAATAATTTAAGGTATCCTAGAGAGAGGAAGCGGCATTCTGGGAGCTTTGTTGGCTAGAATCTTTAAGCTCAGAGCAATCTCTTCTAATAGCAGTCAATCCTAGATCAAGATTCTTTATATAAATACTGTCCATAGTTCAGCAGAATGCTGATCTGTCTACAAGTACAGTAGTATGAGGTCAGATAAAAATAGGCCACAAAGTATGTCAAAGCATTGTATATATTGGTAAAACATGAAGGGTCAAAAGTACATGCTGCATTTGTCTAGTTCAACTGCTTGATCTTCAGTCTCACATGTTCACATCTAATTTCAGCAAACAGTCAAGATAAAATTTATCTTTTTAAATAATGAATTTTAAAATAACATTCTTCATAGTGGAATATTTCCTGCAAATTCTCACATTTGAGAAGTTGGCGTCTGCTGCTGTATGTTCCTAGGCACCTATTAGAAATCTTTTTCATTAAAACTGTAGTGAACTTGATACAGACAGCTGTTGCCTAAACTGAAACCAAGACAGGTATATTCATTAGCAAGTCATTGTTTCCTTATCCGTCCTCTTTTTAATAGCCTTTATTAATTTGTACTACAATATCTGTCAGAGTATGAAAGATGCTTTTCACTTAGTGCTAAGGGTAATTCTATATGGCCTGTGGTTCAAGAATTTGAATTAAACCTCATTTCTCAAGACACTGCCTTCTGTTTTCCAGTAGGGAATATTTAAATGATTCATTAAACAAAGTACTGCCTTGAAAAACACAGTAACTTTCAGTAAGAGCAAAACCAATACCAACCGAACATTTCTAAACAAATGTATTTTAATCAGCCATTCAGATCTGTGTGCCAGTGACAATGGCAAGCAAACTCAGCAAATTCTGTCCAGTGGTTAAAGACCTTTTTGCTTTAATATTACTTGTTATGAAAATGTCTTCTGTTTCTAGCATCTGTTTCTTTTTATACAGGATATCAAACCAGTCATTGATGGAATGGATGGAATTAAGATTTCTCAGGGGCTTGGACTACAGGACTTTGATTTAATCAGAGTTATTGGACGTGGAAGTTATGCCAAAGTTCTTTTAGTTCGGTTAAAAAAGAATGATCAAATTTATGCTATGAAAGTAGTGAAAAAAGAATTGGTCCATGATGATGAGGTAAAAGTCTGTGTTAATTGCATTCTGTTACATACTGTAAAAACTTAGTATGCTTTAGCAAAAATCATTCAACTAAGAAAGCAGCTAAGGTTTTAGACAACATTTCTGTAATAGAAGTTTTACTGACTTTTGAACTCATTTGTCATCAACTGTCTGCATGAAGCACCAAGATTAAATCTGAGAGAAACGTCCCTTATTTTAATAACAATTAACAATTATTAATAGTCTTAATAGAATGCATGTGAAAAATACTCCAACCTGGATGTGCTAATCTGTAAGTGATGAGATAAATAGGATGGAATTGGGGCGCTTAATTTTGAAAGAAGACAAAGATGTTTTCCAAGGCAAATGAATGTAGGCGCAAAGTGTTGTCTGTATTTCAAAATAGGAGCAGAAACTGTGTTCCTGCAGTCATGATTATAGAGCTTATGTGCAAGTGACACAGTACTCTCGAGTATTTTTTTTCCCATGGGTTTAAAAAAATAATGCTACTATCATTTGAGGTCACTATGGTTTAACTGGCATGTAAGAGAATTGTCTGCCACAGAAATCGGTGCTGCCATCTCTCAATTATTTTCAAAATCGCGTTGAAATTTTTTTAATACAGGATCTCAAATGCACAGGTTTGGGGGGAAAAAAAAAATAGAAAAAAAACCCCAACCCTTCATTTTTTTCCTATAATATTCACACGTCTGGAAAGGTATAGTTTTATATCCGTTCTATTTTTTTCTTAAATGTGATGAACCAGTCACAGCAAGCAAGGAAGGCAGATTTGACCTGCCTACAGTGCCATTAGACTGGAACCTGCTGTGTTAAGTAATGGAACAGGGAGTAGGGTAACTGGGATGCATGTGGTCAGACCCCAGCCCTGAGCCCTGACAGACCGATAACGAGTGTCGTCAGGCTACCAGCTTCATAGGAACGCGGCGGTGTGAAGTGCTCCTGCAGGAGTGGCAGTGTGCATGGCGGGGTACGTAAAGTATGACACCATGACGTATTTGAAGAGTGAAGTAGTACTGTGTCATTCTTGTGGGTGGAATCCCAAACTCCAATAAAATAAGAGACGGACAATCAGTCTCACCTCATAGGGAATTTCACATATAGCTGTTCTTAAAATAGACAGTGAATTTTTCAAATAGAATGCAATTTTTAAGCTGATGATGTTAGGAAGACTGGATTTCTTGAAAGTAGAATGTTGGGGAAAAAATGAAAACACCTTGTTTTAAGTACTACTTGTGCTGGTAGTTTCAATCAGTTTCTCTGGCTGCCATTTTTGTCATTACTCCAGAGGCTAGGGTTAAGAGAGTAAAGTTGTGAAGTTCTTGTAAAATACTTTGGCTTGCTCATTTATTTGATGTCTTTTTATGACTGAAGATTAGACTGTTGTGTGGTTTATTTACTGTTTCCTTTTTAGCACGTGTTTTTCCAAGAAGGTAGAAGCTAAAGAGAAGTATTTAATGAGTTTTGCAGCTGTTCCTGGGAATCGGAGGCAGATGAGCAAAGTCTGTCTTGAATAGTGGCTCTCATAGATAACTACATAGAAGATTGAGCTAATTGGTTTTTCTTTTCTGTAAGATAGGCTGTATAATGAAATTCGGGGAATTGATAGGAAATTCACCGAATTCTGTGAATGCAGGAGATATTGCAAGTAATGGAAACTTCACCTAGTAAGTGTTTCATGGTGAAAGAAAATTAATTACATAGCAAGTATCAGTATGTTTAAGTCAGCTAGTGCTTTCCAGGTAATGGTTGATATTGGAGAGAAGTAAAGATTCTTTTCTAAGTGAGATTCAAGCAAATTAAATACCTGGGCTTCTGCTATTAACTTTTTCTAAGCTTAATCTTGTTAAGAGTAGTGCACTAGTATAATGCTGATGTACTATTGCCCAAGTGCAATAGCGAAGGGGTTAAAGACTCTTAAAGGGAAGTTCATTCAGTAAAAACAAAAGGAAGTGGGTATGTTTATTGTTTTATTCAAAACTGGATTTCTGGCTCATATTTGGACCCAGATTTACCCTTCCAAGGTGTTATATCTTCAGGAGTGTCCGAACACACAACCTAACAGATTTATTTAGTTTGAGGGGGACATTTCTTCATTTCCTTTGGGACTTCAGTTTCACTGACTAGCCTTGGCAGGAAGGCCTGTCTCTGGATCGGTTGGAAAGCTGGCAGTATCTGTTGGAAATGGAGAATTTTTAGAACAATTGTTTCCAGTTTGTTGGCCGGGTACTGCGTGTTCGCAGGGTGGAACGTGGTCAGTGTATTGCATGAAGAGTGAATATCTACCGCGAAAACCAGTTGTCTGTAAGGTTTAAATTTTGTATGGTTACATGAAAAATGATTAAATGCTTTGTTATTACTGATCTGAATTTTGCAGTACTATGCTAGTATTCAAATTTTGATAGGTTTTTATTATATGGTATTGTACTGGGTATTCAGGTCTTCTCTCTGTTGAAGTATTAAAGGTAGTTTGTGATACTTCTAAGAATTATTTTGTTTGGACAAACGGATCAGGTTTTCATAGTTTCATTGAATTCATTTTGAGTTTCAGATGAGAAAATGAAGTTCAGTTTATTTGAACCTTTTAAAAAGTGGAGATTGACATTGCTTGTGATACTGGCATGAGTTGCTTCGTCAGCCTTAGGATCATTTATCTAAGATAATGGAATTTATTTCTATGAAGCAATATGAGCAGTCTATCAAATATTGCAGATGTGTGATATTTTTAAATGGTTTAAATTTTGTGCAGACCTTTCTAAATGGTTAAGAAACTTCTGAAAATGTAATTGAATTAAAATGTTTTATAACTTCCTCCAGATTTTAGGGGGTTTTGTCTTTCTGAAGAACATGTGTAACAATGACGGTATATGTAAGGGAGCATAGATGTTTGCAATTTCTTTTCTGGGAATACCCACAGTGGTTATCCAGCAGGAGATCTGATTGTTCGATTACTCTATTTCAGGATATTGATTGGGTACAGACAGAGAAACATGTGTTTGAACAGGCATCCAGTAACCCATTCCTAGTTGGTTTACATTCATGCTTTCAAACAACAAGTCGGTAAGAAAGATCTGAAATTATTTTGTTTTGAAAATCTTGATCATTGTACTAACTGCTTCTCATAAAGCAAACATAACCACTGCCATCACATAGTCATTTTGGGAAGGAAGCATTAGTATCGCCAGGGGTTCACTCCTACAGCAAAGCCAGTTCTAGCGGGGTAGCTTAGCCAGTGTGGTGTGGAGAAGGCGGCCGTGTTTTCCAGGTCCAGATCTGACGGGAGAAGATGAACGAGAACGAGGAAGAACCGTGCGCTGTCTGCCTGAGCACAGGCCGTGTGCCTTCAGGAACGGGAGGATGGTACCAGGGTAAAACAGAGCTTTGTAAGAGGTAGTTTATAATACCTGATTCTGCTGAGGAGGGCTGCATCAGTTCTCAGAGCGCCAAACTGTGGTTCTCTGTTCTTCAAAACAGTGTAAGAGTTGGGCTGCTCAATAATGATAGTTTTTAATAATAACTTAAAAACCTACATGTGTATGAAGTATTTTTTTACCTATATGAGGCTTATGAGCCCTTAGCACGTATTGATGAAGTATGTGATTTCATTTGAAAAAGTGCTTAATAAACTCTTAGCTACTTTGAAATACTAGTTTTTTGTCCTTGTGTGCACAATCCAAAGTGGATTATTTGCTTCTTATTTTGCAATTGGAATATGAAGAAAATCAAGGGGAACTTTTATGCCCGTGCTTATGTATGTCACTGGGGAATTTGGATGTCTGGGGATTTCGTGGTTGGGGTTTTTTGTTTTCCCAGGCACCTGTTTACTGTTACACTTTTATAATGCCTAGTGCTGTATGTATCACAGTCAGAAGATAAAAGTTATGCTGTCTGGCTTACTTGAATGGCATGCAGTGCAGCGTACAAACAGTTCTAGGAAGTTTTCATGGATTATCTAGTCATTTATCCTTAAGAATAATCACTTGTTCATTACAATGGGTATTATCAATTTTTAAAATACGAAGGCATGCACTGTACCATTTCTTCAGCCCTCAGACTTTCAACCACTTAATGGTTAGAGTCGTAGGAAATAGCATTTTCCTAGCAGGGAAAACATAGCTAAGATAAAGGAAGTAAAGAAGCTGTATGAAGAGTGTTCTGAAGGTACGTGGACTAGGGAGTATTTTGGAGCAGGGAGAAAGAATAATCTCCAAAGGTGACAAAAGAAATTTTTCTTGCAGACAAAAAAAAATCTTTAGACAACTAACAAACAGCTGTGGAAGGCCCTTTAAGTTAAATCAACATTCATAAGCACCTTCTCACCAAATACTAAGCAGTGTTGAACATCTAATATAAAAATTCAAGTGGTCAGGCAGGGTGAAGTATTGAGAATGAGGTTTCTTGTAAATATTGGAAACAAGAAAAAGGCTGAAGCCAGCAATAGAAAGATCCTTTGCATGCTGCTTTGGTAGTTACGCTGACATAGCTGAGGAGCAGAAATAGAAGAAGAAAAAATACGCTGAATGTAGTCAAAGCTTTCTGTATTCCTGGTGTATCTTTAGGAGTCCTGTTTTTCCAGCCTAACCTCTCCTTGCAGTGAAACTATAGGTTTTTTCTTTATAATTTCAGCCATTTGCCATGGATATAGCCATGATGTCATGAATTCACAATTTGGTTATGGCTGTAATGTTATAAAATCACAGTTATGACCTCATTACAGGAAGAAAGAGAAGCACGAAACTGATTTCAAGTCAATAAATTCGTCAACATCAGATTGTGTTAACTGGCCCAAAGAAAACAAGCTGTAATATGAGAACAGTTTGTGTATAAGTGTACTAATGGGGGGAAAAAGTTCCAAAGGAACATGTTCTTTCTCTTAAATAAAATTTTAAATAAATTTTTAAGCTAAAAGAAGTGTGTACTTAAAGGTGCTAATTGATGCTAAATGTAGCTGTTCACATTTTCAGATACTAGTGATGCTTGTTTTATTATCGTAATAAAACACGTGCCTCGGGCTTGCCCAGAATTGCCAGATAAGTGTCTTCCAAGGATGGCAACGATCTGAAACCCCCATCCTGCAAAACCATTGGTGTTTGAGTCAATCCTTCTAAAACCAGCGAGGACTACCAGTATTCACACGCTTTCATGCTTGAACGTGACGTGACGCAAGCAGCTTTACATTGCGGGTTCTGAATGGTGATAAAGCTTTGGAAGCTTCTAAATAGGATAGGAAAGTTGGAAGCAGAAAATATCAGGAATGCTGTAATAAAATACTCATGGCATTGTTATCTATTTTATTTATTGTTCATTTAATTTTAGTTTAGTGTTTATATTCATGTGAGGAGCCACTGAAAGACTTGCAAGCTGGGTTGTGTCCAATAATTTTTCCTGGTTTACCTTTTAAGTTTTTAACACTTTAAGTGTTTCAAATGAAGAATCCTTTTCAAAGGGAAAAAGAAAAAGTCTTTAACTGTTACCAATTAGAATGGTCTGAGAGACTGGAGCATGTTTTTTCCAAATGGAATGTTTTCCAGTGTGTGAATGTATGGAAAGGAGTCTTCAACTCATGGAAGATTAGGTGTATAAAGAAATACTGCCTCCCGGGACAGCCGCAGCCCTCGTAAGAAACTCTGACTTGCCATGTTTCTGTCCTGTAGGTCCCCCTGCCCTTGGCAGCATTGCCTGCATCATATTTTCCCAAGGATGAAACCTTTCCTGCAAACTGTAATATAAGTCTCTTTTTATGGCTGATTCCTCCTATATTTCTTTCCTGTACTGACTTTTTCTCGTTTGTTTTGAGAAGACTGTTTCAAGAACTTGTTCTACAGAGGAACTAATAAGCCTTGACGCTGCAGCCTTTCTGTGCCCACATCTTCTATTTAGTGAATATGCTATGTAGACAGCAACAGAAGTGGGTTCATTACACTTCCTTTTAATTCACATTTTTCTACAGATAAAGGTCTTGGCAAAGTCAAGGGAGGGTGGGATTTCATCATCTGTCCTGCTAGCTCACCAGATTTAGTTTTCATCTGTAATAAATAATGGACACATGTGAATTGAGTCTCTCAGTCCTCAAATTCTTTAGTCTTAGTCTATACAAATAAAACCGAACATTTTTTTTCTTTCTTCTAGGAATGACGGTATGTTTCTTAATAGCGTATCAGGAAGAGTTCAGTGATGATCATAGGGTTTAACAGAAATACTTTCATATGTGTGTATTAATAATATGCTCGATCATGTAACTTTAATTGGAAAAAAGATTATCGTGTCATATGCTATTCAGATAAAACTTACGTTTTTTTTGAAAGTAAATTTGGGTTACATTCCTCTGAGGGCATCTTATGTCATCTTGCTTTCAATAGATCTGTCTGAGCTTTTCAGGAACTGAACCAGCACAAACAGCAAGCTACATAGTTATATCTTTAATATCACAAATCCTACAAAACATATTGATCTCTGTAATAATGCCAGATACTCATTAATTATTGTTAATGATGAAGTAATTTTTAAAAGATGGTGACCTTTTAGTGGCAAAACTATATCACAAATACAAATGAGAACTTTTGGATTTTGCCCATGCAGAAACCTTGTTGACTTAGGTGTATATAAACTACATTTCAACTACAAAGCTCTTCAGATTTGATGCTGCAGCTTGGCTATTAAAAAAGAATATTTAGTCAGGCAGCGTAACAATTAATAATTATTACATCAGGGTAAATCTGTGTCAGATTTAAGAAGGGTTTGAATTGAAATTGATCTATCTTTTAAAGTATTTTTTAATCTCAAAACCTTTATTTTAAATAAACAGCAGTTTCAGGCAGGCTTGTTTTTTTCAGTCAATCAGATGTTGTTATTCAAAGCAGTGCACTTGCTGAGCAAATTTTATACTGTGGAATTTTGTCCCATAAAAGTACAAAGAATCAACATCTTTGAATAAGAGATAGTCATGTAACCATGTTGTTGTTGTTGTGTCTTTTTGAAATGAATGACAATTTTACCTTTTTTAGATAAACTTTCATTTTTGCCATGTGTCATCTTCTAGCATACTTCCATGATTTTGCTATTATTTTGAAGTAATTTTTAAAGAAGTCTATATATCATTATATGCTTAGGGGTTTTTTTACATCTGTCGCTGAGCGAGTACCTCATTGCTTTAGGCAAATGCTGTTGTCTTCTGTGCTGTTGAAATAGTTCTGCAGGTTTCGCATCAAACAGTAGCCTGTTGTATGCAGCTGCCGCTCCTTTACATTTGGTCTGGCATTTAAATAAAGGATGTGATCCTACATAATACAGATCAAATAAATACTCTCTTTTTTCTCTTAAATAGTTTCTGTAACTATAAGAAATCTAGAATTCTAATTCAAGAGTGGAAGTGAAAATGGCTCAAATTGGAAGGATAAGAATAGTTTTTCTTGAGGGTTTCCTTGGAATCCATTAATTGTGTTATATACTTTCAGATTGTTTCTTGTCATAGAGTATGTAAATGGGGGAGATCTTATGTTTCATATGCAACGGCAAAGAAAACTTCCTGAAGAACACGCAAGGTATTTTACTAACACAGTTATGGTGGGGTTTTTGTATTGCAGTTGTTTAATGTGGTATGAAATGCTTTCCAAACTTTATTCCATAAAAGAATATGAATAGCAAAGAAAGAATGAAAGGTTGATTCTTAAGTTTAGAATGTACTATCCTGGGAAGAAATGTTAATTTTATTTTTTTGAAGGAAATGTGTGTTTTTTAAAGAGAGCAAGCGTTTGATAAGTAGTAACAGTTATTCCTATTTACTTTTGTTTATTGCTTCATATTTAGGTAATGCTTCTTTGATCTGTTGATAGAAGGTGTAACTATTCTACTTATTTTGATCTTATGTTGAATTAATACAGTATTGGTAGGAGAAGACAAAAATCTATTTTGCATGGCTTTGCATTACATAAAGTCTCATTGTAACTCTTAATAAGCTGAAAATACAGGTCTTCTGTATCATACTTGGAATTTTCAGAAAAAAAAATCTGTATGATAAAGAATAACTATTTTCGTAATTAGTAGAATGAAAAAAATAACTTCCCATATTTAATTTAAGGAATGGTTTTACAATGAGATCAGTGTCCTTATGAATAAGTGTAGCTTCTTTTTGGTATACTGTTGATAGAGAAAAGCTGACTGTAAAGTGATGTTTTAAGAACAGGTTTTTAATTGCACTAACTCCTGTACAGTCTTAATGCTAATATGAATTTTCTCCTTTTTAATTTCAGGTTTTATGCTGCTGAAATTTGTATTGCTCTAAACTTCCTACATGAAAGAGGCATAATCTATAGAGATTTAAAACTAGACAATGTTCTTTTAGATGCAGAGGGTCATATCAAATTAACAGATTATGGCATGTGCAAGGTAGGATTTTTCTTACCTTTCTTTCGTCACTCTGTCATTCAGTAGTGTACCTCTCTGGTTATGCTTTTAAGTCAAATACTGCATCCAGTGATATTAAGAGAAAACTGAGAGAAGTTATCCTTATGTTAAGACTAGTATTACTGAGCCCAGAATTTGGTTGTGGAACAGGAACTTTATTCGGAAAACTGACTGTTGAAGAATAGAACCACATTTGTAACTCTTCCCTTTCAAGAAGTTTGGCCTACTGGCCAAGTTCATTTCTCTTATTTATTTTGGTTTCCTATGTGACCCAAGTTAGAAAATTGATCTTTAAGACAAGTATTTTTTTAAAAGGGTCTTTTCAGTCTCTTAGTAACCGTGCTGCTGTGAATATGAATTGCATTCGTCGTTCTCTGTGGTTGGGCTGTACGGATTATTAACCAGCAGGGGCTCGCTGGTGTCTCAGTTCTTCGGCTGCAATCTTTGGCACAGAGAAGCAATTTAGAGAGCGTTGCTTTCAAAGCACCTGGTAAAGCGTACATGTACTTAACATGATGCGGAGGAAAGCAAGCAAATGTCAGTAGAAAATAGTCTAGAAAATATTAAATTTAAAACTCGTGTGTAAAGTTGGAATGCCAGACATGACTGAAGTGGCTGTAATCTGACCAGAATTCTGCTGTCCCCTTAGAGCTGTTGACTTGACCTCCAGTCTCCCTGTTATTGCCACACTGTTTCTGGCTAATATGAGAAATGAGATTAGAGTCCAGCCTGTTCCTTGGTGAGAATAAGTTTCTGAAGCCAAAATTGCAACTGGCAATCTAAAAGTTTGATTCCTTCATTCCTAAAAATAGAAGTTTTTTTATTTGAAAAGGACTTTTTATTTGAAAAGGTTTTGATCTGAAATTTTTTTGAATGTATCTGTAAATAGTAAGCAAAATGTTGTTATGAATGTGTTGTGACTCAGTTTTAATCAATTAATTTGCTGAAGGTAAGCTGTAAAGTCATAAGCCAGCTCTGAGCACTATTTATTTTGCTCTAGCATTGCCTTTTTTGAAAGGAAGGTCTTTAGACTCCTTAAGTATCTTGGCTTTATAAGTCTAATTAATGGAAATTCCCGGAAAAAGGAGGTCTGCTTTTAATTTATGAAATGATTTATGCACATAGGAAGGTTTGGGCCCTGGCGACACTACAAGCACTTTCTGTGGGACACCAAATTATATTGCACCAGAGATCCTCAGAGGAGAAGAATATGGTAAGCTGTGACTAAACAATTTGTAGTTATAATAAATCACAAAGCAAAGTTCTAGTTGTAGGTTGGTTCAAATGCAATTATTTTTAATTTCCACATTTTTGTTCCATTATATGTTAAGAAAATTGAATACTTATTTTACAGTTTAATTTTTTTCTGAAATAAGGTTATTTGTTTTTTCTCTTGCAATCACTCATTTCAGTTTCTTTTAAATCATACTTTCCTGAAAAATAGCTCTTAAGTGATACTGTAGCAAAGCCAAGCCCACTCCTTGAGGAGCTTAACATCCCAGCTACTATTGTCCTTGAGGCAAGCCCATAGAATGCTGTAAGAAAAAGTTATTACTCATGCAGAAGTCAAAAGTATAATAGCCTTTTTAACCAGTGTTGTTATTTGTGAACTGATCTGATCAATGATTGAATCTGTCATTTAGTTACAAGATACTATAATGTTCAACTTTAAAAAAAAAAAAAATCTGAAAATATTCAGCTTAAATACACTGAATTTTCATTGAAGCTTGCTGTCTGGCAGACACCTAAACACTCCTATACAGATTACCTTTGTAATCCCAGTTCTCAACCCTCAACTCTCTCAAGTCTCATCCAGTGACACTGTAAGTCGTGATCTCTGTGGCTTCAGTGATAACAGAGAATTTCAGTACTTCGTAGAACCAGACCGTTAATCTTCATTTATATGAGAGATAACACTTAAATTCAAGGAGTCCTGTCTGAAAATCTGCTCTGAATATTTACAGGGTTCAGTGTGGACTGGTGGGCTCTGGGTGTGTTGATGTTTGAAATGATGGCAGGAAGGTCTCCGTTTGATATTATTACTGACAATCCAGACATGAACACTGAAGATTACCTCTTCCAAGGTATAGTCATTTTGATTTTTTTCTTTCTTGGGGGAGAAGTAATGAAAATTAGCAGTTCCGGTAGGACAGTTAGGTTTTCCTTTTCTGCTGTTATCCCATAGCTGCCTGTAGATCTACTGTAGATAAAGGGCCCTAATATTTCCAGTTCTTCCTCCCAGGAATTTATTTTGTTGAACTCAGATAAAATGGTCTGGTATTAGGAAGCCTTCTTCAGACAAGAAAATATTTTTTTTAAATGTCCACAGTTCAGAAGTAACAGATGGCAATTGTATGGAATAGTATCTTTGTTAAAAGGCAGTCCACAGGCCAAGAATGAATTTTGAAATTCAATGCTACATGAGAGGATAGGAGGATCTTTCTTGACAGAAACACATCAACCTAGTTTTGCTCCAGATAACTTTTTAATTTTTTTATTTTTTACTTCTGATGAAATCAATATAACTATTTTTTTTTCTTGCATAGTTTTACCCTTCAGGAATAGTGATACATGAATTTTTCTAAATAAAAGTAGCACTACTTGCCGTATTTATTACAATAGAAACCCCGTAACACTTTGGGGAATTGCAAAGTTGCCTACTCCCTAATATGCAGAACCATTCATTAAACTAGTTACTGCAATTATGTAACAGAATCTGCCAGGGTCTTCTTGACAAGGTTATTATTAAACCAATTACTGTTTAAAATCACACTTTTTCATATACTGAGGACACTGAAAAAGTTTTATTCCCTGTTTATACTACAAACAATAGAAAAAGATAATGAAGCTAACATTTCTTTTAGGAAATCTTGAAATGTCAGTATAATAGTGCCTTGAATTACAGTAGCTCCTTTTGTTTGCATTACTGTAAATAATTACTGTATCTTCCCATTTTCCAAATGGTAATGTATTTAAATAATATAGTGTTTGTATTGAAATTGTGGTCAACATCATAAACCAAAAAACAATATTGCTGTTTTTAAACCTGTCACAGTTATTCTTGAGAAGCCAATCCGGATTCCAAGGTTTCTTTCTGTCAAGGCTTCCCATGTGTTAAAAGGATTTTTAAACAAGGTAAATAACATTCTCTTATTTTTAGCATCTAAGATCTGGAAGTCAGAGCTTCCTGTTGAAAGCAATACAGTTAAGAAGTTAATCTGCTTACTATTAAGAAAATCTATAAAACCTTGGTATCCTGTATGTTAAAAAAACCTACTTCTTAGTTGCTAATTTACTGAGGGAATTCCACAGCACAGACTTGATTTAAAGCCTACACCTAGTGGAGAAAAATAACTATAGGCTTGTTTATAAACTCTTTTCTGTAATACTTACTACTCATTTAATTAAGCTGATTGAAAGCTGTAGAACCATTATCATTTTTAATGGAGAAAAGAAGGGTATGAATTATACATGACTAAGTAAATCTAGATTTTTTTTTTAATTTTACAAAGTTGTAAAATATTATTTAAAAATGAAATGTGAAACAAACTTCATTAAAAAAAAGAACAAAAATCCCTTGATAGCCATAATATGTGTATCTTAGCAGCAGTTTATGTAGTAATAGGGAATGCTGGAGTCATGTATGTGGGCTTTTGACAAACATGGACTGTAACTGGCTTAGAGTATGTAATACGAGTTTCTGTGTTTTCCGCAGGATCCCAAAGAAAGGCTTGGTTGTCAGCTGCAGACAGGATTTTCTGATATCAAGTCTCATACGTTTTTCCGCAGCATAGACTGGGATCTGGTAAAAATAATTACTTCTGTTTATATGTGTTCAAAAGGAATAGATTCTTTTAGTTTATTAATTGTGTGTTTATGTAACAACCCCATTAAAAACAGTGAAATTCAATTCCATAAATGTAAAAAATACTTTGCTTTCTCCAGGTGACATGACATAATGGAAACAAGCTTTATTTCATGACCAAAAATCTGGCTTGTTTCCAAACTCTACAAACAGTTACAACCTGTGGGCATCGTTTTTAACATATATGATGAATGTTAGAGAACATTTCGAAAAACATCGAAGCATTGGTGGAACCACTTATTCTTTGGCTTCTCTTTGTAGATTCTGCGAATTCACGCACTGGGTTCTGCTGCTATAAAATTTGCGCAGTGTGCCTGCAATTGTAGCGTGAAGGACCGCAGAGATTGCCAGTATCAGAAATCAGAGCGTTAATGTTCTGGATGGTCATTTCATGTTGTCTGTTAGTAAACATTCCGAGCTCCATTGAAAAAGGAAGTGTGGACTGGCCAAGACAGCATATTGGAATGCTATTCCACGACTTCATTTCTCTTGTTGATTAGAAACCTTTCTGCCTTGACAGGAAGGTTGGTGGTTGATTAACACAGCCAACAGACGGGGTAAAGTGTCCTGAAACCGGTTTAGATACAACCATGGAAGCTGAGGTGCTTCAGATACGTGAAGCATTTGTAGTCTACTTGTAGTACATTTAAAAAAACAAAAAAGCCTGAATTTACAAATTATATCATTTTTTTAAATCAGTAGGATTATTCAGGTAGGTAACAGCATTCAGTAACATGAGTAGGTGTGAGTAGGATCAGGTGCTTTTTTTTAAGGATGTGGCTTGAAAGCAGTGTGGTGGTTTAAAATTATTCTCTGATTATTACTTTTGGGTTTTCTTTATTACTGCTGGTGTGAGGGAAGCTTTTAGTTCATGGTGGAGTAGATGACTTGCATTTCAGTGGTTTTGCAGGCAAAAAATTGTATTGAAATTGTAGCTTTTTTTAAAAGCTTCTGCTGCTTGGTAGTTGTGTCTACTTCAGTCTTCATCATAGAAAACCATCACAGAAATGACATTGTTACGTTTATTGACACTTGAGCAAGAAAACAGTGAAGTCAGGAACACTGCCTTATCAGCATTACTTGTTTTTAATACCTAGCTGAACAGTGAAAAAATATGCACATAGTATTTTCATGGTCCTAGGAAGCCTGCAGGAAGTGTAGAAGCAGGCAGGCAGCAGTGCCTGGAATAGCATGAAAGAGGTTCGGCGAAGGACAGCAAACTGCACGATTACATTTTTACTTTGAAGCCTGCTGTTCAGACCTGCATTGTTAACATTCTTCAGAGAAAACATTCACTACATAAGGAGCCAGTATTTTAAAATACCTGGTGTTTACAAAATTATTCCTATAGTGAAGGTTGTCTTTAATTTTGTCAGACATCCCTTGGTTTGTATTCTCCCTTAAGCCCAAGTGTTATTTTTCTTTATGTTGGCTACCTGGTGGTGCTATAACGCAGCTTGCTTGAGCTTGTGGTAGAGCATAAGCGTCAAGTGCTGCAGTGTTTCTCTTCTGTTTTGCAGAGTTTGTTTTAGAGAGAAGACTGCTGAATTTGTATATTCATGTAAGAAACTCTTAATTGCATTTGGTACTTCTTGGTCAATGTTTATGCTCATTTGAATTTTTTTTACCTTTTTTTTGACTGAAAGCTTCGATATTAAATATCTATTTAAAAAAACCCCAAACCTAATGGAAAGATTTAGGTGGTTGCCTGTGCTGTTTTGTAATATGATTAGGACAGTGCTGTTCAGGAGGATCTAAAATGTCAGCTAAATTTTAAGCTAAATTTCTAATAAGAGTGTTGGGAAGTATATTCAGGAGAAAATGAAAAACATTTGGAAAGCTTACTTAATTATTAGAATTTTCTTTGAAATGCAGGTGATGAGTAGAAAAGATGTAACTTAAAAGCTCTTCTAAATCTTTTCAACTTGAAACACAAGGAAACAAGAGTCTAATGCTGACTATAAAACTTTTTTCTGTGTGAAGCTTGAGTGAAATGGAAAAATAAATAATGGTAAAGTGAATACATATAAACATTTTTTTTGTAGCGTTAGTCATCTGAGTTGTGTGTGGCACAGCTAAGAACGTTTTAGATTACTCTCTCTGTGTATAATATGGCTTAACAGCATTCAGGGAAGAACCAAGATAAACTTTTTTTTATTGTTTCAGTACACAAAGTCTATTCTTATCCTAGTGCCTGTTTTTATGGTATTTATCCATTATATGCTAAAAAAAGAACTAGAAAGCCATGGCTACCGTTAGCTGTGTAGAGAAGCAGTAAGGCTTTTTCCTAGAGCTGTACCAACATATTTTTTTTCACTTATTTTCTCAAGTTAAAGGCTGCAAGTTCACTATATGGTTTATTTAAGAGTGCTTCCATGCTTTAGTGAGTATAACATAAAAGAGGCAGTCTGATGTTTAACATCTAGTTGAATGCCTTGCTGTTGAAATGTTAATGCATAGCTACGACTGACTCGTAGTGACAATCTTATCACCCTACATCAATTTTTAAATATTCATTTTGCTGTTTCTTTCATGCTGCCAGTCTTGTTTGCGAGGAGCTAGTTTTGTCTCCCTTACAACTTGCATTTCACGATGCTTCCAAAGACCTGATAACTGATGGGATGTTGATGTATTGAGATTCACTGCCCAGTTACAGTTTCACGATTTCCTCATGTCTCCATCTGTACTCATCATGCTCTTGTCTTAAACCTGGCACGCAAGAGTGTTCTGTGATTGATCACCTTTTTGTTGTTTAATTTGTGCCAAGCGTAAAGAGATGTCCTGGCCTAAAACCAGGTTTCCTACCCATGTTGGTAATGTGAGTAATCATTTTGGTCAGTGGTAACTACTTTTCACTTATGTTATGCTTACCTGTTTTGTTTGGTTTTTTTTAAGTTAGATTATGGAGATTGTAGCTTTGGCTTTTTTAACTGAAGATAAATACCAAAATTAGAATGTTGGTATCTGTGCTACTACAAATTTGACTACATGACAGATTTTTATCTCCACTGCTGTGGTGGTGAGACTTTGAGGTTAAAGGCTAGTTGAAATGAGTTATTTACTCTCTATAAATGTGTTGCAGTTAATCTGGCCTAAGTTTCCCTTCCTGCTAAATCTAATCAGTAGCTTTCCCATACTTGCATGCTTATATTCCTAAATTGCAAGTTTTACTTATTGCAGTCTTATGTCCTCTGCAACTCTGTAGAGTTAAACCAGAAATTTGAGTCTTAAGATCTAAATTACAACTGCAACTTTTATTTATGACTTATGATATCAGAAATAAGTCTCCTCTAATTGCACACAAATGCTGTTCCTCAGGAAAAAAAGTAAATACATTGTGCTAACTCTTGTATTGCAGCAGTAAGCATCTGTCTGGGAATTTTTCAGTCCTGGGTGTAATCCACCAAGTTAGAGAACTTAAATGGCTGAATTATTTATGGACTTCTGTTTTCAAATGCAGAGCACGCATTATATTGGTGTCTGCCTGGCTTGTAATGTATATTAGTTAGGTATTTTGACATTTCTCTCCCAACAGCATTTAATGTAGTTGAATTTGTAGAGTTCTCTTGTTAATTATTACAGAAAATGTTACCATAGTAACTTCTGTTTTGAGTACACAATTTTGTTATTTGTGTAAAGTTGGCTTTTGTTGTTAGTATTGTTTTGAAACACAGAGGCCTTCCCTTTTTTCCTACGAAACCGACCTATAAAATATATCAAACTAAGAATTTGGGAGCCAATACAGTTTGTATAAACTTCAGTTTTAAATGAGAAAAATCTACTGTTTCCATTTTGAACAATTTTATCTTGAAAGTGACAATAATTTATATACAGTCCATAAGAATGACCAGGAAGATTAAGAAAAATCTTACATTGAATGGTGGTGAAAGATGTGCAATTCGCCCGTTTTACTTGGCCTGTTCTGGGGAGAATGGCCGTGAATGACACAGGGCCTTGATAGCTCGGTGTCGGTGTTACTGGTGTGCGGCAGCACAGAGGCCTCTGCAAAATGCAGTTAACTTCATAACGTACAGGCGTGATAGGAGTCGTGCATTCCTCATTGTAGCTGAGAACCTTCTTCAGAAAAAGTCTGCAAAAGGTTATTAATGAAATTTAATACTAGTCAGCGTTAGACAAGTCAAGAGTATGAAGGATCTGCAAGAACTTTAAGAGAATTTGCAGATCTTGGTGTAGAAGATCCCTCTTTTCAGTGTGTTCCACCCAGACCTGGGAAAAAGTTGGAGGCAGGGAGAAAGGTGGCCGAGTACACCATGAATTCACAGGACAAACAGCCTCTGGTCAAGAATAAATCTAGAAAAGAGAGCAAGGCTTTCTGCATCAGAGCTGTTCTTGGATAACAATTAACCACATCTCTTACTTAAGACCGCTACCTCTAGACTTGGAAGGCTGGACCAAAAAGATCTTTACTTACACTGGGGGTGTGTGTGTGTGCAGGTTTTGGATCAGTTTATCAGATTCAAAGATCGTAGATGTCTTTCCACATCCTTCATTCTACAGGAGTTCTGGCAAAACATACATTACTTTTTTTTTTATTACAACAAAACTGTTTAAATTTACTCATCATAAACATTACATTTTCTTATAGCTTTGAGGGCTTTTGAAATGTTATTACTATTGCCCTGTATTATTATATTTGGAAATTCAGTTATCTTATTAACTTTGTCTTTCTACTGAAGTTAAACAACATTATTTTAATCTCCTTTCTCTTCATTTAATGGACAATAAAACACTGAACTGCAGTTAAGCAGATGGTTGAAGTACCATCAATCACTGTAAAAATGTATTTTACTGAATTTGTTGTAATTGCTGATAGGATATGATGAAAGTGATCCAGATGTGAATACCGTAAGGATGGAATTTAAGCCAGGAATGAAGTGAGACAGAACTAGAAAGATCCCTAATTGAGGTGGCTTATCAAA